TGATTATCACTGAAGGCCTTCTTGCTATGAACTTAAAATTAAAGGAATATCAAGGAGTAGGATCATGGGAATTCATTCGAAAAATAAAAGACCATTTTCTATCAATCACTTGATTAATTTTTCATACAAAATTCCATTAAAAATTTCAAAAATTTCATGACATATATAGCGTCATGCACAATTGATAAGATTATAAGGATCAAAGTAATGATTTTACCGATAGGGTAAATAATAATGTAAATGAAATATGGTAGGCAGTAAATTATTCTAAATTAAAATATAGGAACATTTATAAAATTTCAGTCTTCTTTAACAATATTACAGAAGTGTAACGTAAGATATATAGATATAAAAAGAAAAGACTGTTGTCGACTCGTGCTAAACGGAGGCAAAATTCATTATATAAGTGCTAAATGTAGATTTCATAGATGTTTTATTTGCCTCGTTTAGTGGGGGGAAAGGAAAATAAGTGCATTACGAAATAATTCTGCTTATACTAGTAGACAACAGACTTCTAAAGCAGTGATCAGACCACCGCCACATTAATTCCAATCAGTCTTTAATGCATTACGAGTGAGGTAGATGCGGTTATTTTAAGTTTGAACACAACTCGTCACCTCGCGGAACAAGGTGACTACACCGTCCTCAAACTCCTCCCGAGGACCGTGTACAAAAATACTACTTATCTCAGTTACATGAATTCATTCGTCTCCCCTTTGTTTGAAAGCATGGGTCAGTCAAAATGCTAAGTCACATAAAGAATCTTGGACTTTAAGAACACATACAATCAAGTTACATTTTTTAAGTTACAATTTTACTTTGAACCAAAAAGACTATGTAGCAAAAGGGAGATCAACGAATCTTATTACATCCTAAGCCTAAACACAATACAAGCGCCTATTTAAAGATAAAATTAGCACGAGAATTGCTCAATACATTCACGCTTAAAATTTAATACAATAATAGTAAATATTATGCAGTATTTCGTATTGCGTCCGATCCTCTACTACTATTTCAGGTTCAACATTGGACAAGTGAAATCAAGTTAATAACTTGCTGTTGGTAGAAATAATGTTCGGACACTAAAAACTCGTACAAAATCTATCATCACGCATCAATTAAGTTCTCCAATTTTATTGTATCTATCACAAAACTACATTTTACTGCCAGCAGCTAGCAGCTCTCACAAGTTCACGTACGATCGCGATCAAATCCCTCCCTGACTTTGCAATTAAATCAAAATTTATGCTCTGCAATTACTATCGCTACACTTTTACAAAGTGCTTACAACTATGTGATGATTGCTATTCATCTAACACTGACAAATGACTTATATAATAAATGGACTTTGTTCATACAAACACCATCAAAAGTGACTAAAATAGACCAGTGATGCGTTCATGGAGCCTCTACTAGCAAACTTTGACATATTCAAAATCGATTAGACGTAACGAAATAAAACTAATAAATTCACAATAAATCGTTTCGAATTAATGCGGGCGTAAAAAATTAAGTAATTTTAGCAGCTTTCAGCCAAGTCATTTAACAAAATGCCACCGCTCTAGAATTTCTTAACGTGCCGAATCGCAATGCCATAGATGGGCAAAATGAACAAATTAAAAAATATACATACTGTGTAAGAGTGAGCAGTTTTTTTAAAGACACATTGTTAAATCTTGTCGATTTATGACATGCATTTAATAAAATTAATAGGTAGACGTTCGTGACTGAGATCCTTGAGCGGCAGGATGTTGAATCTGTCTTTGTTATGCTAGACTTGTAACATTCTAAGAGTGCACTAGTCAACGCATAATTACGGCAGACTCCGTCGGAGTTTGCTTTGCAAATCCATTTATCTGAATTTAAAACGAATTCATTCATCAAACGATTTCATTTCAATTCTGAGATTCGTCGTCATATATATAAAAATACCTGTCGCTTATAGACGTTAAATTTTGAAAAATATAATAATAAAAAAATGCATTTAATGCAACATATTATTACAAAAATATAATAACATAATACTTTAATAATGGCACTGAACGAAAAGTAAGTATCGGTTACATTTACTGATATGAAAAAAAATTGTTAACTTGTTAAGGAAACTGGCAATTGACCGTTTAGACGCAAAACACTGCATGTAAATATTTTGCCTTCGAATTGCTCACAATTATTTAGTTACGTCACGTTTGCACTTTAAAAGCTTAAAAATTCGTTACAACCATAGAACTTAGTAGTTGTAGTGTATAGTGTGTGTGACATGGCGCAACCAATAACATGAGAGTAACTCAATAGAACATTTATTTAGTATGGCGTTATACTCACCTCTATAAATAAAATTTATTTAATTCTAGACTTCAAACAATAATTTTTCTATTTCTTATTTATCTTAAAAATACCTCAGACTCATTAAACGATTTAAATCAGTTCCTTATTATTTGATTCAGCTGAAAATTTTTGTTTGAAGTGGCAAGTTACACTACTATTATATAACATTAAATTAGCCTAACTTCTCATTAGCTTAGTCTAGGCCTATAGCTAAGTACAAAGATGAAAATTTTATTCTAAAATTTATTCTAAGTTGCGATCAATAGATAGTTACATTTTGGCCAGTTACAAAATTTCAGTTGTTATTGTTGTGCGTATTTCTAGTATTTTACTGTCTTAAAGGTAAGTCAAATATTTAATGATTACATTTAGGATTCACGAGGGAGATTAAAAACCTTATTCATAAGAAAGTCAAGGAGCATAACTTATGCCGGGCAATATTTTACAAAGCGATCAGAGAGTTACAAGTCATATTAACTACAATACGGTTGCATTTACAAAATCTATCTAGCCAGATTCTACAATAAACCACTACCTACTATTTAGCTAGCTTGAGAAACTTTAACATTACCTAATAGTCAGTACAGTTAATTAGTATTTTAAGAACCTGCAATAAAAGAACTAAGCCACACACTATTTCCTAAATTATTACCGTAATTATATTGCAAAGTCACAATTGCTACTTGAATTAAATTATCTGTTACATAGATATTTAGTTAATATTGAATAAAACTAAATTTACGGATTCTATCGCGTTTAATTAATTACTTTTACTTATTTTTAATTCCCGACGTTTCGGGTGCTTAGCACCCATGGTCGGGGGACTGAGACGTTTGACGTCACAATGTCATTGTTGTGCCCGGCTACCTTCAGTTTTTGAATATTAATATAAATCGGACCAAAAATTAATATTCAAAAACTGAAGGTAGCCGGGCACAACAATGACATTGGGACGTCAAACATCTCAGTCCCACCCGTGACCATGGGTGCTGTAAAGCACCCGAAACGTCGGGAATTAAAAATAAGTAAAAGTAATTAATTAAACGCGATAGAATCCGTAAATTTAGTTTTATTCAATGTGTAGTGTTCGCGTAAATTTAAGAAATCATTAGTTAATATTGATTATTTTTAAACATGTGTAATAGAGGACTAAACAAAACATAGCTTTATGCAAACCGTATAAGGTTTCTTTCGACAGTAATAATTTCGCTAAAACCGTATTCAATACCAACCTAGAACATGACACTAAACTTAAATATAAAAATATTAATATAGTGAACACATACTTACTGAACACAGTGTTTATATCGAATATAATCGATAAATTTAAAAATAGATATAAGATCATAAAATTTCAATGAAACAATTTCGCTACAATATTTGAACTAATACAAGAATTTTGACTGTAACTATTAATTAAAAATATTATGTAGAAGAATATCTATATATATAATTTCCTACAACAACAGTGTTAGTGTCTTAAAATTCCTAACAAGAAATTAACTTTCGCGGATGTTCTTCGCTATCAAATGTTCGAATCATACTCATAACACTACGTCTGATAACATTAATTTAGCTGGTGTACTTGTGGAAATTTTATTTAGTTAAAAGCAGTTCAAATATTTTATAGAAAAAGTAAAAATGGCAAACCCTAACATAAAAAATAAGAAAATATCACGAGTAAAAAAAACTTTCGGTCAGTGCTCGATCGCCGATAATTTTTTCCAAATGTAATAATACCTATGTTTTGGTAATAAGAACTAGCATTAAAGATAACGCGTCGATTACCCCGTCCGCAAGCTCTCCATTGCGTCGACCACCACGTCTTTAAGACAGTCTTCTAAAGTCAGTCTTAAAGTTTTATTGCATTAATTTCTTAGCTCCGTTGCCTCGTTCCCTTCCCTTCTTCTAAGTTGCAAACAAAAGAGAAAGTCTAGCAAAAGCTACAAAACTTACGTAACCGATTCAAGCATAGTGCCAATTAACGCCTCGCTAAAATATATATACCTAAATTAATGGGCGAAATAACTTAATATATAATAAAAATACATATAAACGTCTGTTTTTATCATTAACTAAGTTAGAGAACGAAAAACTAACATTTTGGAAAAATACTTTTCAAGTTATTTTTTTTTTAAATTATCTCACATAAAAACATCTTTTAAATCACAATGTGATCTTTATAATAGTAATCCTTACGACTTGTATATTCTTGTCTAATAGTAATTTATAAATCGTAAGATTTATGGGAAATATATAAAATGGTTTTTGTTGCTGTATAGATTGTGATGATTTCGTAGGTGATGATTTAGCGGTAACAATGTAAGTTTACTGTTGGTTAAAAATGATTATGTCTCATAATGACCCCCTTACTGCAGAAAATGTTTGGTGCTTATGGACTAGTGTCATACGGAAACGAAAATCGAATTAACATGGTAACGAAAAAAGTCATCAATAGAATTTATGGAGAATTCGATTTGCGCATGACCATAATATTATGAGCAAAAACGAATTCTCCGTACAAGCTATGCTCGATTCAGATTTTTCCAAACATTAATAAAAAAATTGGCACATTATGAAATTAATTACAAATACAACAAAATTAAATAAAATAAAAATACTGTGAGCCTAAGGCCCCTGGAGTATTAGTGTGCCATGAGGCACTATATCCGTCAGTAAACCTTGATGTACTGCTTGCCATGGGAGGAAATATCGCGAGCGGTATCCGGTAGGGTCTCGAACAATACGACCAGATAGCCTTCTGGGGTAAGAGCCACGTCACTGGGTCTATCCTTGTCATCGAGACCGGGGCTCTTTAGATCCACGGCCCATAATATGCGTAGTTCTGAAGTAAACACAAGTACACGATGATTCTTGGAGTCGGCCACTATAATGCGTCCATCGTCATCCGTCACGATACCTGAGGGACGGTTCAGCTCACCTATACCAGAACCCTCACGACCCATGCAGTGTAATACCTTCGATAGAGTAGGATCCACCATAAGCAGGCGGTGATTTTCGAAATCAGAAACGATAATATTGCCGCAGGTTGTGAAACATACGCCTCTTGGAGTCGTCGGTCCTTTGAGCATCTTTGCCGGATTGGCAGCTTCAAATACAAACTTAGTGATATAAGTTCCGTCACTTGTGAATAATTGAATGCGATGGTTTCTTGTGTCAGTAACTACAATATTGCCAAGTGTATTAACAGCAACGTCCCAGGGATATTGAAACTGTCCACATTCCTTGCCGAAGGAACCAAACTTAAGAATAAAATTACCTGACGATGTGAATATCTGAACTCGGTGGTTATCTTTGTCAATGACTATAATGCGGCCGTAAGTATCAGTAGTGATTCCGGCTGGTAAATCAAACTCTCCAGGTCCAGTGCCCTTAGAGCCGAACATGGTCTTAAATTCACCGCGGCAGTTAAATATCTGAATACGATTGTTACGTCGATCCGCAACAATGATATTGCCTTCTCTATCGACGCACAAGCCCCAAGGTCTGGATACTTGCCCTTCTTCTTGTCCTTCTTTGCCAAAGGAAAACATTGGAACACCGGGAACTGGGCTTCTAGTCGGTCTGACCGTTACCGACATCCAATATCCCGGAATTGCTTGTCCGATACCACGGGCAGGATTGGATTCTACAGTAATACTTGATGAAATACTGTGATCGTAATAGTTAGTAGATCTCGTGTGACTGTTCGGGTAATCAGGTATATTTCGTAGGCTATTTGACGCCGAGATATGATAAGACAAAGGTGAAAAAGACTGGGCTGACTGCAACGATTGCAATGATTGCAACGATAGTAGCGATTGACGCGACTGAAGTGACGTCGTTGATGTAAGAGAGTGTATAGATCCTGCTGGCGCAGGTTGAACATCACACTGGCGTTTTATCTGATCTACCAAATCGTAATTGGGTGGTATAAACATAATTCTTTCCTCAGTAATGTACATATTTTTAAACATACAGGAAAAGTAGTCCACTTGAGCTCTACCTTTTTCTTTAGCCATAAATAAGTCTATACCTTCAGAATCCATACTTCGAACTAACGTCTCATTGGTGTGAGCTAAACCAGCGAGAATACCACGAAGTGTGTTCATGTGATCAGTCAACTCGTTCATTTTAGCTTGGCGCATCTTTTCTACTTTGTCTAACAAATATTTCTCACGATCTTCTATAGCTTGAGCATAACAACGCATGGCTTTTCTTATTTTTAAGTTAGCTTCCGCGGTTTCCTTCTCGTAAGCTTTGGACATTGCGACCGCACGATCTATAGCAGTTTTGATGGCTTTAGTACCAGTTTTTGTGTCTTCGATGGCTCTAAAAACACCAATACGACACATGTCAAGCGCTCCTTTGATCGGAGAATAACAGTGATCTTTATGAACCCATAAAGTACACTCTTGGCAGATAAATATAATACAAGCTTCGCAGTAGAATTTGACGGGGTCCCCGTGTAGCTCACAATACATTACTTCTTTTTCATTAGTAACTGAGTTAGGCCGAGCACCGATAGGGGATATTTGGTGAATTGGGAGCAGCGTATGCTCCCTAAGTTGACAATCAGAAGTAACTTTATGGCAACACTCATGGCAAAACAAGTCGTTGCATTCGAGGCAACGAGTTGTGGGTGTACGTTCTTCGCAACGAAAGCAAGTTATAGACACCGATGATGATGTTCCAGGTGAACCACTGGAGTTATCTTCTTTGGAATGGGTTTGATGGTTATTGTTATGGTTATTAGTGCTGAAGTCACGACTAACAGGCCCGATTGGGTTTTGGAGAGAGCTGCAGGAAGGTAAAGCCCAGATATCATAGGGTACAGTTGATGAAGCAGAAGTTGCCACGGTCGGTTGCAGACTAGGAGGTTTGTTCATGTTTTCGAGTAGATTGCAGAGGATGTGCGTCATGGCAAGCGGATCCTCTTGTTCAGGTGTTTTACCGGAGGAGCTACCAGAGGCGGAAGTGGTGGCCGGCAGACTGGCGCCCAGCGACGCTGTCATATTAGCGAACGACGTCATCGTGATACGCACGTTCAAGTCATTAGATCTGAAAAACAAAATAAAAAAGTGTTTTAGATAGTTCGCCGTTCTAGTTCGTGGCAATGAAATTACGGTTGCTTGGACAGCACGCTAGTAACTATTAAGCTATATAGTTACCAGCGTATGGCTATTAAGCTACTAACGTGCACTGGGACTGCTACTATGATGTGATTTTAATAAAATAAATGTAGATTTAGAATTTTAGCCGAAAGAACTGAAATTAACACAGTATGTGTAAACATACATTATCATAATCATCATCATCATTACCGCCTATCAGAAGTCCACTGCTGCACGTAGGCCTTTCACAAAATTCCACAAAGTGCAACCCTGAGCTACCTTCATTAATCTACTTCCTGCGTGTTCTACCATGTTATTGAGCCATCTATTGACAGCCGCCTTACACTTCGCTTAACATTACTAGAGTGCCACTCGAAACCCTTTCCCGTTGGATGTAGCTTCTTCGAGCTACATAGCGGGCCTCAGCCGGTCCATTTTTCTGATCTGTTGGACTTAGTTAGTTTTTCTGGTTCAGCTATAACTACATTTAGAATTTTATCACAGAGACAAACTTCGAGCATAGCCCTCTTCATAGCTAGCTAAGCGACATTGAGATTCCTCAAAGTCGGTCAACTAGCTATGGGCTTCTTCTTCTCTTTCTGTAAGAGGCGACAGGACAGAGAGATAGGAAACAGGAGATGGACAGCAGCATCTTCTTGATGACCTAAAATAACTAAAAAACTGCCAACATGCCAACTCACTTGCCAAGCCTGGCAATTATAGCAAATAAATAAATGCTAGAGACCTATGTTCAACAATGAACTTTTGATAAGGCTGCATTGAATGAAATATAACATACATTTCATCATAATAACTTCATAGGCGGTCTAATACATAGTACTACACTATACAGGGTTATTATACAAAGAGTAGCCAAATTTTATACAAGACTTCAAATAGGTATCCTATACCTTTAAACGAGCAATTCTTGTATATATATATATATAATCGGAATCCCGGAAACGGCTCCAACAATTTTCATAAAATTTAGTGTCCAGGGTGTTTCGGGGGCAATAAATCGATCTAGCTAGGATTTATTTTTAGAATATGTTTTTTGTACGTGTTTTCAGACAATGAAAAACTGCTACAATATAAGAAGGTAAATTTTGACATTGTGTCAATGATCGTAATAGCTCAAGTGGATACAGATCGGTCGCGAAATCGTAATGCCTTGGTTCGCGTCCTGTCTCCGATTCGATTTTTTTCCTTTTTTTTTAAAGTTACCTTTTTTTGTGAGAAAGTCTATTATTTCGAGCCCTTTTTTTTAGTATTTTTAAAAATACGAAAATTTTAATTAAACTAATTGCACTCATGATTTTTTATTCAAATAACCAGTTCAGTTTTTTCTATTATGTCAATAAGATCAAAAAATATTATTCATCAGTATGTAATTTGTAACTAATGTAATTTCAAAAAAAAAACGAGCAAACCTAGGTCATCCGGGTACTATTAATAATATATGATAAAAATATATAATGACGCACCGTTCGTTACTGCAGTTTTTGAAAGTACGAATAAATAAGGCTTCTTCTACTTTTTTGAAATTATCCCATATTTAATAATCCGGGCTGGACGTCCGGCAGTGTGGGTGTGTGTGTATCATCATCATCCTGCGGCAGTCCACAGCTGGACTTAGGCCTCGTGTGTATGTATGTAAATAAAATTTCGTCGTACAATAGCTTTAGAACGAATCAACCGATCGAGATGGGCGACACGGCGCGGCGCTCAAAATTGTTCATTGAGATTTCGAGCTGATTAGATCAAGTCCATCGGTCGAGCCGTTTCATAGATTTTCAAAAAATTTAAACCAAAAAATCTTAAGTTATTTCTAAATAACTTTCAAAATATTGATAAACTCTAGACATACGAAACACTTATTCGTACTTAAAAAATTACGTCGAATGCCGCCAAGAAAGTCAAAATTGAACGACTGAAACTGAACAAACGAACTGAACGATTGAAATTATTAGGTAACATTTAAAAAATTCTAAATAATCGTTTTGTTTTCAGACTAATTCTTCGATCCATTGAGTCAAGACCTTACAAACAATTTTTGTACTTAAAAGACTGCGTCAAATGTCGTCAAGCAAGTCAAAATCGAACGACGCGTTTTAATTATATCCCCTATAACATCTCAAAAAACCGTATCGAGCTCAAAAATTATATAGATTTTCGTGCGTTGCACTAGAAAATAAGCGGGAAGTTTCAAGGATGGCCTGCAGGGCCAACTGTTTTTCAGATTTGTTAATTAGTTTTTTCACCATTCGCCTATACTGCTTATTCTGAACATTTTTTTGCAAATTTGGCAGTTTATTGCAAAATAGGGTATTTTGCAATTTACGGCCAAATGTAATGTAACTCTATAGGACATAGACCTCGTCCAAGCAGAAAGGATTTACCACACTGAGCAGGTGGATTGGGATTGGAATCACTTAGACACACTTATTTTGATCAATTCTATGATCTAACCAGCTCTTCTAATCAAAAAACGACGTCGATTGCTGCAAACCGCATTCCGATTCGTACGAGAGATATCGTTGTCGAAAGAAATCTCGAAACGTATTTTTTCAAAATAACTTGAAAATTCTTTATACGTTTTGAGATCGAAGAGTTCAGAAAGTATAAAAAAATGTTTTTTTTTAATTTTTTTTCCATTTGAAATTAGCGGGAAGTTGCAGGGATTGTAGGGTCAACCGTATTTTTTTGTGAAATGTAATAATTGGTAAAATAAATGGTCATTGATGATTATTTTGAAAAATCTAAATGGCGCTTTATCAATAGATTTTACCCAGGCAAAGTTAAGGTTGGTCGTTTGTCAAAAACAAATAATTATTATTTTCGTTTGATTTTTTCTGATTTTAAAATTTAAACGATATGCTACTGTAATATATAATGCTTTTCTACTGCTGCTAACGCCCACGGGAAAAAGTTAAGTAACTTTTTCTGGCAGCTTGCATACGAATTCTTATGACTTATTTATTGTGAAGACTTTTTCAAGATCTTTTGCTATTAACAGAAAACGCCTCGATCATTATTATAACAGGAATCCCTGTTGCATAAGTCAAACATACAACGTAAAAGTTGCAAGCGACAGTAGCCTAATGGCAGGGCGCGGACCGCGAACTCAAAAAGGTCGTGGGTTCGAATCCGCCATTCGACTACTGGCGTGAGCCACTCGTAACACAAGCAATTTAAGCTTACTATTATACCACGAGTGGTTAAGGGGAATATTAGTAATGTTTATAGCATTGTTAATATTCTTTTAAAAAAAAAACATTAATTTCATTTCTTAGGCAAATTGAGTCACGTTATTGCTGCAGCAATAATGGGTCGGCTCGACCAGACAATGATCACGCTTGCACAGAATACCAGCAGAAAAGTAGCACCATATTGCTGCTATTTCATATGGTGACAGAAAACAGAGATCCTTACTGGTCACGAGCCATTCATCGTTAGAGTGATAACGTATCTTTATTTTGATTCTTAACCGAGGGCAGTCTTTCGAGCACAGCATCCACTTATCATCAGTTGCACTGTCTGCTGATATTTTACGCTAACAACATAGTAAAAACGCAGCAATATTCGGTCGTCGAAAATCTGTGGATTTATTACGTATACCTATTAATATATGGTTGCCTATTACATTTCTAAGAATTTTCGTTAGACAAGGTACAAAAATTTATAAATAAAATAAAAATATTTGCATGATATTTGTAAAATATAGAATTTTCAATCTAGCGGAATCAATCAAATAATATAATTAAAATTTACAAGAGCAATACCTAATTTAAAAAACTCACCTGTAACTGCTGTCTAACATAAGGAAATTACAAAACTACTTCATACAATTAGAAACAACGGGGATTAATAAAACAGCTCATAAATAACGACAGCTCCAAAAATAACAGCAAAATGTTTCGCGGCAATTAAAAAATAAAAATTATTGTTAAGTTAACAATTTAAATTTTTGTTCGTTAACATTAAAATTGAATCTAAAATTGAACACTGAATTTGGAATCACCACTTTCTCTAAAAAAAAGTTTGAAAAGTTACATAAAATTAGAAACAGCACTTGCGTGAAATAAAAAGAAAATATGCATTTAATACTTACAGGAACCAAACCGAACGACACCACTACACTAGCGCACGCTTTATCACTGATATAAGCCGGATGCCAACAGGCACTAAACAAAAACTTTGTATACAGTCATGACCAAACAAACAGAAGGAACCTAATAAATATATGTGTGGACCATCCGGCCCTTCGAGGCGAACTATTGCACCGAAACTCATATGGTGCACTTTGCGAAAAAAATCTATCCCAAAAACTTTCATGGTGCCTGCTCTACCCTTCAAAATAATAGGTAGCGATCTGAGAGTGAGATGGAACGACCAACGATCAATGAATGCGAGGGAGACAGATGATGACGTCGCATTCCAAAATTTTCCATAATTTAGATAAAGGAGGTTTGCTATGATTAGGGCTGTCAGATGTGAAAATATATACTGGCAATAACAGGAATATTATGTTATTATCATAATGTTATATAAATGAATATTATGCCTTGAATTGAAAAAGCGAATTATTTATAGTACGTGAAGGTAATATGGTCATCCGGTTAATATGGTCACTTTCTTATAACGCAAAAACTAAAGCCTTGTTTGCATAGATGGCCTTGTGTTACGATAGCTCTTCATCGGTCAATTAAATAATAAAGGGTCAAAAGGGCACTGTTTTATCGACGCCATTTTAACAGTTGATATTATAGTAAATATTTTCAACGATTTTAGTATGGTGTAGTGTAGTTAGTATTTTTTAAGTTAATTTTTAAAGTGTTCATAATTATTGCCAAGGCTTGTTTACCATTTTTTCTTAATATTTTAGTTACAGTACACGACTT